AGCTGCCTGAGAGGAGGTTGGAGCCAGGGGGGTCGGGCTCTGCTCCCCAGGAACAAGGGATGGGACAAGAGGAAATGGGCTGCAGTGGTGCCAGGGGAGGCTGAGATGGGATGTTGGGCAGCATTTCTTGCTGGCCAGGGTTGTCAGGCCCTGGCCCAGGCTGCCCAGGGCAGGGCTGGAGTCCCCATCCCTGGAGGGGTTTCCAAGCCGTGTAGATGTGGTGCTGAGGGACATGGGGCAGGGCTGGCCTGGGCAGGGCTGGGGGAGTGGTTGGGCTGGATGATCTGAGAGGTCTTTCCTACCCAAAAAAATTAGGATTGTACAATAACAGCCACGAGGAGCGTCCTTCTCTCCCTTTTAATTCTCAGTTTCCTTTACCTTTTGGCATATGATTTGGGAATGGGGGTGTGGACCATGTTAGACCAAGCTCACCAAGTAGAAGAAAGCTTTAGTAAGCACAAGAAACCTCTCCCCTATTTTTCTGTGCATGAAAACGGCTTGGAAGAGAAGACCATGCACCAGTCTGGTGTGCATGCTGAGCTATCTGAGGTCAAGGCCCCGGGGCTTTGTCTCTGTCACTGGCTTGTGGAACACTCCTGAGGTAAAGCTGTTCATCTTGTTGTGCCATGGGGTTGAATTTGTTGTGTTTGAAGTTAATTTGGTGGGATGGAGAGTGGTGCTGGCCTCGCTCCTGGGCTTTCTTGGTGTGTTGGTAGCGGGTTGGTGTTCCTCAGTAATGAAGTCAACATTTATAATCTCTTTGTGGTGTGGTTTGGTTGGGAAGGGACCTTCAAGGCCATCTAGTCCCCCTGCAGTGAGCAGGGACATCTGCAACTAGACCAGGTTGCTCTGAACCCCGAATGTTTCCAGGGATGAGGTTTCTACCATCTGTAAACCAGCCAGGTCCATCATCCCGAAGTTTAGGGAGACGTTTCAAGTTTTATTGCCCAACTGCTCTCTTGAGATCTGTCACTGGAAGTTCCCTCCATGGCAATGCATGAATCATCTAGAATCCAGCTTCTCCAGGGTTGTTTCTTTAAGGGGTTATTCCAAGGCTGTTTCTTCTGCAGAAGAAGGCTCTTCTTATCAACATCTTCAGATGTTTTGGCACAGGAGGGAGATTGTTTCAGTGGCTTGAGCTGCATGTGGCATTTCTCTTCATAATTTGGTTGGATGCATCTGTTGTCAGCCAAAAAGAGGACATGGAAAGCCCTGTGGAAAGGGAGGGGGGAAGGAAATCAACCAGATTTGCCTTAAGGTTTGGTCCAAGTCTTGTGTCACATCTTTGTCTAAGCTGGTTGGCCTGGTGGCAATAATTAGGAGAGGTGGGATGGTGTGGCCTGGGAAGCCTTAATTTTATAGGCCCCTTTGCCTCTTTTTTTTCTATCTTTTTGCAAATCATGTCAGGAGAAAAGGATTCTGAACCTCTGCACTTGGTGTCTTCTTCATGGTTTGCCACAAACATCCTGAGGCTTCGTGAAGCAGCTGCAAAATGACCCAGAACCAGAAGGACAGAGATGATGAGGGGGTGGGGGGGAGAGAAAAAACCCCAATAATTAAGCAATTATGAAACGATCTGTTTGTATCTTGTGTGTTTAGATTTGAGGTGAAATAGGCAGCGTGAGGTCTCCTGAGCTTTTTGCACAGGTTTGTAGAAGCTGCTGGGCTGGGAAGGCAACGAGCTGGGTAATTTCTATTGGAATGTCAGTGTCTGAACAGGCATGAAGTTACAACTCGTTATCCTGGCCAAGGAGCAGGATCTTGGGTTTCCTGGACAGTCTCGGCCAGCTTTCTGGGAAGCTGCTTCTGGGGATTGAAAAGCTTTACCTGGGGGAGTGGGAAGGCAGCAAAGACTGTGCTGTCCTTGTTCCTCAAAGTCCTGGCTGGGCTTTCTCTTCCTGAACGCAGCTGGTGTGTTGATTTAATTCCATCTGGAGTTTTGTAGCTTGAAAACTGTCTACGTGTGACAACAGGTACCTCCTGTGTCAGGGATTTCTGCTGCCTGAGTCATGATCAACCAGAGAACCATTGTTTTGTTGGGTTTTTTTTAACTTGTCTAATGCCCAACCAAACTCATAGCTGTGAAGAGCTGTGCAGGGATGTGTATTGATTATAGAATCCCAGACTGGTTTGGATTGGAAGGGACCTTAAAGATCATCTAGTTCCAACCCTCTGCATGGGTAGGGACACCTCCCACTAGACCAGATTGCTCCAAGCCCCATCCAATCTGCCCTTGATGTGCTAGGGAGATGTGATGTTACCCTCAAAACATTGAGCAGCTGCAGTGATGCAGCTGGGAGGCAAATGGGAAGGCTTGGAGGGGATGCCCAAGGATGGGCAGTTACTCCAGCCTTCACCTCCTTTCTTGTGAGCTTCTGTTCTTCACCCTTTTCCTCCTAGAGAGCAGCTGGATGTGAAAGTAGCCAGCACCTCCTTGTCCTTGCAGGAAAATCACCCTGCAAGAGGTAAAACATGAGTCCCAGATGGTTGGAATGACTTCTGGTAGGAGTGTGTCTCCCTCCTGCACAGGGTAGAAGGTTGTCCCACAGGAACACATCTATAAAAAAGCTCCACCTGCTCTAGGGTGCAGAATAAATGGGGGCCCTACAAGCATCAGGCAGCCTCCCTCTCCCTCTACCACATCTACAGAGGTCATTATTCCTTGCTGGGCTTTTCCTAGGAAAAGGTTAATGAAGTCATTCCATGTGTATCTTCCACAGCTTGGAGGTTAATTACTTTGTTGGCCAAGCCCTGCTGCTGGATTTGTGCCACCAATTGGTGCCAGAGATGGACAGAGCACATAGAGGGTTCCTTCAATCTGATGGCCTGGCTGCTGGGAAAAGCTGGGAAGACCTCAGTTAGGGATCAGATTTGGGGAAGTTTGTTTTAAAAAGTATGCCCTAATGGGATAACTGAGGTAATCAAGGAAAGGTGAAGCTTTTTTTTTTGGGGGGGTGGGGGAAATGTCGTTGAATGGAGGTGAAAGACATTAATTCAGGAAGTCAACAGAGAAAAGGGAGTTTGTCCTGACTTGTCCTGGCTGGGCTGGCACAGCAGCAAGAGTTGTTCCTGTGTCCCCTGTGCTCACTGAGATGAGCAAGTAACACCAAATCTTGTTTCCTTCCAGCCCAAACCACTGGTGGTATCACCCTGGCTGAAAGAAAACAGGGTGGGAAGGAAAGGTTCATGGTTTGGGTTGTCTGGTTTGGGTTGTTCTCTCTGCTTGACTAGGTCTTGCAGCCATTGTGGTGGGCAGGGCAGACAGAAAACCTCTCCATGACCTCAACAGGGCTTTTTATTTTTGAATACTCACTCTGCCAGAAAAAAAGAGAGGATCCTTTGGGCACTGTTAAAATCATGGTCTCACTCCTGGGCTAAAGCTGGAAGCAAAGCTGTAGTGTTGTGTGAGGGGCATCTCAGGAGCTACACTCCAGGAGAAGACAGTGTGACAGAGGAGGTTTAGATTGGATGTTAGAAGAAACTTCTTCACTGAAAGGGTAATTAAACACTAGACCAGGCTGCCAAGGGAGGTGGTTGAATCACCATCCTTGGAGGTGTCTAGAAGATGTGTAGATGTGCTGAGGGCCATGGTTTAGCATCAGTTGAGGTAGAGTTGGGTTATAGTTGGACTGGATGATCTTAAAGGTCTTTTCCGACCAAGATTCTGTGACTTTGCTCCATTCCAGAAGGCACTTCTGGTGGGTGGGTGGAGGTAAGAAGCCTCCCTTGGCAACACAGCTCAGAGAGGACATGGAAGGAGGGTTCCTGATCAGGGCACTTAGATGCCAGCACCCACCTGGCTGCTTCTCTACCTTTGTGTCCCCTTTCTGCTGTTCTCAGTGCCCTGCAGGAGAAGACCAAGGTGGCCACACACTGTTGTTCTAGCAAGGCCTTTCAAAGCTTCCAGTAGATCAATCACAAGACTTGACTGATTTTTAACAAAGCCCCTTTATTTTCTTGTCTTGAAGGCTTATAAAAACTGTTCCTCAAAATGTTGAGAACTTTACATATGTACAAGATGAGAAATAAATTATGTTTGGAAGTCATAGAAAAACCACAATATACAAACAGGGCTTTGAAACCACTCCAAGTATGGCACGGTGACAAGTCACAGACACTTAGCAAAGGCTTCAGTTCTTGAAGCCTTTGCAGAAAACCATGAGAAGAAATCCCCAAATACACTCCAAATGTCCTTGCTTTGGTTGGATTGAAGCTCTACCAGAGAACTGCAGGCCTCAGATGGACTTGTTGAGCCTTCAGAACTCGGTGCACCAGCTGGCAACACCCTTTGGTGAGATGGCCTTTCTACATGCCAACAGTTTTGAGAGTCACTGCACCAAGTTTCCTTCCAAAAAGAAACAAACAAACAAACAAAAAATAATAATAGAGAATAATCTGGTCCACCTCTGCCAAGGTCCACTCTGCTGCAGCTAGGAGGAGTCTGTCAAACTCCAAGCAAAGTCAAGTTCATCTGGCACCAGCTGGGTGGTTGTGACCACGAGGGTGGGATGTCATCTGGCTCAGTTAAATCCTTGGCACAAAAATGAAGGTGTGAGTTCCATGTTGGCACTGGAACAGCATCTGAACAGAGGTGACCATGTTCTCTGTAGGACAACCTGAAGATAAGTGGCATTGTGCTTCTTCCCACCCCCCTCCCCTGAACAACCCCACACACTTGACCTGTGCTGGTCTCCTCACCCCACAGTCCCTAGTGCTACTGGACCCACGGGAATTCCTACACTAGATGCTAATTTCGTCCTGGCAGCTCTGTCCCCAACAGTCTGATAGGCAGTTTGCATGGTTATCTTCTCAACTCCACTGGCAGGCAGCCCAGAAGATTATTGCTGAGGTCTAGATGTGTGAAGATCTTACCCGTGGTCCTGGTTAATGGGAGCAGGGCAGGAAATGCAGCATGTGACAGGTCAAGGTAGGGTTAAACGCACAAACCAGGCTCCTTGGGGAAGAGAGAATGGAGTCTTAGTTACTCTAAGTCTAGGACCACAGTTCATGATTGCTCCTCAGTTTCTTGCATCTGATCCAAGATGTTTTGTCCTGAAGAGCCACTTGCTTTAAGTGCTACCAAGCCAGATTTCATGCCAGAGCATCTCGCCAGCCGTGCAGTCTTCATGTATCTCAGGTTGCTCAGTTGTGAACCCTCAGAGAAGTCTTCAGAGGGAGTTTGAGACAGGTCTGGGGAAAAAACAGAGAAGACCAAAAAAATTATACCTGGTGAAATGCAGAAGTTAAAAGAGGAGTAATACATCATTCCTAAGAAACCCTGGGACACCAGGACCAGGTTTAGACAGTACAGGTTGGTATTTTCTTCTGTCAAAGCAGCACTTGGCCCAGCAGCTACTCAGGGAGATCCTGAAGCAGACATGATGCACCAAGCAGAAATGACAGGTCTCCATGGCTCTTGCTCAGATCCACCCTGGGTGGACAGATATCTGCAAACTCACCCTCCCAAGTGGGGAACTAGAATCTTCCAGTGCCTTGGCAGGAATGGAGAGCTGAACAAGCAACTGCTTGTGCTCTCTAGGCGGAAGCTCAGATCTGCTCCTGCACCTCCTGCACAAGCTGTGCCTCCAGGAAGGGCCCATCTGCCAGCAATCCTGTTTTATGGGGGTTACAGAGCAGGTCAAAACTACCTTTTACTGCAGGTCTGTTTATTTGATCTTGCAAGGCCTGTGGCACAGCAACCAGTTTTAGTCCAGGGGTTGGATTCACAGACCTGGTGAATACTGGACGTAGCAGAGTGTGCTGCTTGAGCAGCCCCAGCTCACCTTGCTGAGCTCTGCCACCCAAGAACTTCATTCAGAGCATGATTTCCAACAGGCTCTGCTAAGCCTCTGTGAGCATTTTGTCTCTGGATTAGAAGTGACAAAGCTCTACACTTCCTAACTGACATTTAAGAGAGGCCAAAAGGTTGAGCTTTATCGGAAGGAGATGATGGTTTAGTCAAATCAGCAGGGATTCATTCAGAACATGACCAGAGGCAGTCTGAAGCAATCAAGCTGTCACTGCTGGGACCAGCCTTCCTGGAATTCATGCTCTGAGGACTGATCCTAAGTGTCTGGAAAGTCCCCCAGAGGTTAAGCAAGGCTGAGATGTTCTGGCAACAGCTGAGCTGGGACTTGGCTGAACCAGGAGAGATGAGCATATGAGATCACTGAATCCCAGACTGGTTTGGGTTGGAAGGGACCTTCAAGATCATCTAGTCCCAACCCCCCTGCATGCAGGGACACCTCCCACCAGCCCAGGCTGCTCCAAGCCCCATCCAACCTGCCCTTCAACACTGCCAGGGATGGGGCAGCCACAGCTTCTCTGGGCAACCTGGGCCAGGCTCTCACCTCCCTCACACCAAAGAATTGTCTCCTCATATCTCACCTAAATCTCCCTCTTCCATTTTTAATCCATTCCCCATTGTCCTCTCAAGTGGTAAAAAGGGGTTATTAGATGCTTCTAATCAGCTCTTCACTATTGCAGAGCTTGGGTGTTGGTAGTAACTCGTTTTTAGCATCTACCATGACAGCAAAAAGGTTCTTTAGGCCCACAAATTGTGTTGCACCAATTTGGTAGCAAGTGAATGTACAAGAGGACAAACCAAGCTCACAAGTGAGGATGATTATCAACTGGTTAGTGATAATTAAGGTTTATATGACAATTAAGTGTAATAGCTGGGAATCTTCTGCTAGAATTTATTAAATTCTTTTAAGGAAGAAAAAGAGATTCCAGGAGTCTAGAAAAAAACAAATCCCAGCACAGCCAAAGACATCAGAGAGGACTTCTCTGAGCTGCTTTTCCCCTACCTTTTATGCCATTCCTCTGGGCACTTCACAAACCAGAGCTCTTTACCAGGAGATATGCTGGTTAGCTGGGAATCCTCCACACAGAAGGCAAACCTAGGAGGAGGAAGCAGAAGTCAGGAGAAGGTGCCTGTTGTCTCCATGGTTCATAAATGACATGTAATATGGATTCTAGGACAAGCTGTTTGATACCCTTCCTGTGGAGCACCTTGATACACCATGAGCCTCTTCAGCAGCTCTTTTCTTTCCTACTTCCATATTTTATTTATGGGGTCTTTGCTCCTACTCCCCCTGTGTTTAACATATTGTAGAAACCAGGATGCCCAACCAACACCTGATGGGTGATGGTTATTTAAAGCTCTAAAGAAGGTGGGAGATGATCAATATCAACTGCTGCTCTTTGAGAGATCTGGGTTACCTTTAGAAAAACCTGAACACAAGATTTGGGAGCTTTACTTCTTGGTTGCTGAAGGTGCTTTCCAGTTACAGAGACCTCAGAAGGAACAATGTAGTGCTTGAGGAGTTGGTGTCACCATATCACCAGGCTGTGGCTTTAGGTCTAGTTGTGCCAGATCAGCACATCATGCCTGTAAATAACTGTGCCCATCCCAGCTGCAGGCTTTTTGGCACTGTCAGTACTTCAAACCCTTCAGGTGTGATCTAAACCATCTTGAGGTTGGCTAATTTAGTCCCCAAGGGCAGGCAAGAATGTGGCCCAGTATCTAAAGAAAGCCAAACAATGCCCCAAATCTGATCTGCAGTTTTGCTTCAAGTGTAGTTTGCAACCTCCTGCTGGCAAGTAACCCACCCTCTGACACCACGAGGGAGCTAAAAATGAAAGACAGGTTGAAGACACCAAGTTCAAAACCCCAGCTTTTCCTGCTGGGTTCTGACTCTTTTCTCCTTGTGCCTCAAGTTCTGAGCCAGCTCCTATGCAGCCTGACCCAGTCATTACCTCTGCTGTGTCTCCCCAGATTTCACACGGATACGTCTGATGTGGAGCTCCTGGGGAGCCTTGGCAGGTCGATACCAGTAGCTCTTCAGCTCCTTCCACAGATCATACCAGGACTGAGATGTTCCCTCCCAGGTGAGTTTGATTTTTAAAAGTTCACCCATGTCCTCTTCTGTATAGACCAGGAAGGTGCTCGTGGCATTCAGGCCGATTTGATCAAGCCTGAAAGACAAGCAGAGACTCAACATTCCTTCCTCATGGAACCAGGCCAGGTGCTCATTCATTCCAAGAGAAGTTAAACAGAGCCCTTTGCAGCTTATCAAGAGCTCCACGGTCAACTGCCACCCCTTAATTGCTGATTACACCAGAGAAGGTGAGCTTGGGGAGCTGGTTCCACACAATGCAACACGTGTTTGGCTCAGCCATCTCTTCCATAGCTTAAAGGTGAATTTTTGTGCCTTGTGTTTCTTCTGGGAGAGGCCAGAGGAGGTCAACAATGCCTCCAGAGATATGGGGTGTGTTCAGGCTCTATCCAAATGGTAGAGGGGAAAAGCAAAAGGACTTCAACAATGAGCTGTGAAGGTTGATAGGAAGAGGCCTTGGCACCTCCAATTGTTTTCTCAGCAATAAATCATAACTAAGTTATTCAAAGTTTGAATAGTGATGAAGTGAGGCCCAGCTGCAGAGCTAGTCCTACCAGAAGAAGCTTGTCTGGTCCCCAGTGGCCACCCCAACTTAGGCAAACACAACAGGGCAGTTGACTTACATTTCTAAAGAGAGAGGTTCAGAGTCTCCATTGGTGCCATGAAGGGTGACAGAGAAAGTGGGGTCAGCCTCTCCCAGACTGCTGTAGCTGAAGACATGCATCTTCATCTGATAATGGTAGACTGAAGATAAACAAGGAGAGCAGAGATGGAGACAACGTTGCTCAGCATCACTCCTTGGGAAACAGCAGTGGCTGGCAAAGGCTTGATCATTATTTATGGAGAGATCAGGGTTCACTTTTTCCTGCCTTTATTGATTACAAAATGGACATTTGCACAACAGCAACAACAGGGCCACGCTGGGAGGAGGTCCCCAAACCTTACACTGCTCTGAGGTTGGGGTGGTCCTGCAAGTAGAACATGGAAGCTGTGGTCCTGCTCAAAAGGCAGAGAGTCCTTAAGACCAAAATCATAGGATCCCAGACTGGTTTGGGTTGGAAGGGACGTTAAAAGACCTTCTGGATCCAACCCCCTGCATGGGCAGGGACACCTCCCACCAGCCCAGGCTGCTCCAAGCCCCATCCAACCTGCCCTTCAACACTGCCAGGGATGGGGCAGCCACAGCTTCCCTGGGCAACCTGGGCCAGGCTCTCACCACCCTCGTGGTGAAGAATTCCTTCCAAATGTCTAACCTAAAGCTCCCCTCTTGCAGTCTGAAGCTGCCAGCCCTCATGCTGTTGGCTTTCAGGAGGCAGGAGCACAGCAGCACCTCAGGACAGGCTGTGCAGCCAGAGCCCGGTGCCGCGCCGCCCTGGGGAGATGCTCCTCTCCCACCTCTCCACCTTCCCCAGCGTTGACTTTGGAGCGTCTGCTCTTCCAGATGCGACTCTCTTTCTTGAAGCGGCTGGAATCCGTGCACTGGAAGGCGAAGCTCTGCTTGTCTTGGTTCACCAGCGAGTCCACGAAGAGGTGCACGGAGCGCTCGTGTTCACACTTCACAACTTCACCGATGGCTGGAGAAGCAGAGTTGCAAGGGGAGACAGTTTGTTTAAGCGTTTGGCACCACGGCAGCTGGCGAGACAGGGTGAGCTTTCCTGGCCAAACTTGAGCGTCTTTCCAAACAGTAGCAACTCAAGAGGTTAGTGCAGGACACTCCAATAGGATTGGTTGCTTAGTGTCTCCCAGAAAAAGGGATTTGAAGAGGATTTGAGACCCAGCATTACAGAATCACAGAGTCATCCCCAAGGCTGGAAAAGACCTTTAAGACCATCAAGTCCAGCCTGTGACCAGCACCACCACATCTCCAGACCATGGCACCAAGTGCCACCTCCAGCCTTCCCTTGAACACCTCCAGGGATGGTGCCTCCACCCCTGCCCTGGGCAGTCCATCCCAATGTCTGATCACCCTTTCCATGAGGAAGTACCTCCTGATATCCAACCTAACCCTCCCCTGGAGCAGCTTCAGGCCAGGCCCTCTTGTCTTGTTGCCAGTTGCCTGGAAAAAGAGCCCAACCCCACCTGACTCCAACCTCCCTTCAGGGAGTTGTAGAGAGGGAGAAGGTCCCCCCTGAGTCTCCTCCAGGCTGATCAACCCCAGCTCCCTCAGCCTCTCCCTACAAGACTTCCCCTCTAGTCCTTTTACCAACCTCATTGTTCTCTTAATTACAATGAGTATTTTACAACCAGGTGTTAAGAGTGAGAACACGTTACTTCAGAATTAAAAGCAAGTCTAGTTTCTAGCAACTCCAGTAGCACAGGCAGTTTTGGAAGGAAAAGCATGTTTTTTCTGCCCTTGTGAATCAGATCATCCCCCAGCATCAACCCAAGTCTGTTTGTGAGGAGTCTACACTGACCAGAGATAAAACAAGTGGTGAGAACTTACTCCCATAGGCAATTGCTCCCAAGACATCACTTAGGCCACAGCCAGGCTGGAAGTCTCCCCCGTTGGGGTAGATGTCAAGGTGGCCTACAGGCATCTGGATCCCAATGCTAACACCAAGGGTTTCCCTTGTGTAGGTGTGAAGGACATCCACAAAGCTGGCATCATCGGGGGACAGGCGCCTGCTGGGGTCCACTCCTTCAAACATGGGGCCAGCTGGATCCAAGCCTGGTGTTGGAGACAGTTCCCAAGAGGCCAGGTAAGCAAGTGGGTTATTTCATGGAGAATCTAGCCAGGAGCCTGCTGCCAGCAGGACCATGGGCACAGACAGTCCCTGCTTCATTGCAGGTACTGTCCCCCAAGATGTCTTCACCATGGGTGTCCTGAGGGACCCAGTGAAGATGTCCCAGACCCCTTTTGGTGCAATACAACCCAGCAGTAGCACCAGTTTGCTCTGCAGAGATGGCTTCAGATCACCTCTTGGCAGCAATGAGTCTTTGCTAGGTCCCTAGTGAGGAGGCAGAGAATGTCCAGCCACCAGAAGGGGTCTGGCACCCCATGCAGACCATCAGTGGCCAAGGCTGCCTGGGCAACATTTAATCCATGTTCAGACCGAACATATGGGGGGCCTGATAAAAATGTAAGCAGTGCCAGGTAATCCCTGCTTTTAGGATTGGTGGGTTTGGGATGTTCTGTTTAACCTCTGATCCTCACCACAACCTGAAGCTGTGCTCCAGCTACTCCTCAACTTGACCAGTAGGTGACCAAATACAGATTTTTGTTGCCAGGCTCTGAGGAACTTTTCTCCACCAGGGTCACGTTTGAATACTTAATGCAACCCCTTGTACCATGCCCTGAGTTCCCCCATGTTGAAATCACCTTTCCTCTGGAGTCACAGCACCCTCTTCAAGATGCCTTCAGAATGAGGGGCTGAAGTTGATGATGGTTGACCAACCATCCCATGGGACAAACTACACCTAATCCTCTCCCTTCCATCAGTTTGAGAGCTGTAATTACAAAAACTTGTACCACTCACAGGATTTGGATACTAAGAGCTTGAGCTGGACCTGTTTTGAACCCACAATGAACTTCAACATACTCAAGATCAGGTTGTCCCCTGGAAGGTTTTTCACTGAGCCCCTCCTGGCCTTGGGCTTCCAAATTAAGATACTTTCTCAGGTGAAGACCCACGGTCCCCACTGCTGCCAGGGGTAGGAAACTTGTTGTTTCTGACTGAGGAAGCCCAAACCAACATCCTAGCAACATAGGAAAGGAGCCTCTTCAGGGAACTCTGCTGCTAAGGAAAGGTAAGAGATGGCTAGAAAAGCCACTTGCCTGTAATTCTGCCTATTGTCCCACGGACGTGGTTACCAGCAAAGCCAGCGACGTGGGCACCAAGGCTGTACCCAATCAGGTGGACATTCTCAAGCTTGAAGTTTGGGTTCTCCTGCAAAGATGAAAAAGAAGAGGATCATTTGTGCCCCTGTCTTTCAGACCATCTGGCACTGCTCCTATCCAGGACAGTCACAGAATCATTATGGTTGGAAAGGACCTCTAAGATAACCAAGTCCAACCATCAAGACAAAAAAAAAAAAACCCCAACCAAAACCTTGGCCACTAGAGCATGTGCTGAAGTACCAGTCCTAAGAAGAGATGGGACAGACAAGCATGTTTTGTTCTTTATTTTATCCAGACAAGTGGATTCCAAGTGGAGTGGTTTGGGTGGCACTTGTGGTTTGCCCCCAACCACAGGGAGGACGTTCCTCATCGGAGCAGCATCTGGAGGAGCCTTTCCCCAGGGAGCTGCCCGTGGTCTCCAGTGCCAGGTGTAGCACTGTGGGCCTTCTTCTCCTGTTCCATGCTCTTGCCAAGCCAGCTCTGCCTGGGAATGCCCAACTCCTGAGTCGCTGGGGCAGGAGGAAGGACTCCCCAGCTTGCAACCCCCTTCCAACCCGACGTCTCCCGGGAATCGCCCCGCGAGAGGCACCTTCCCCGGGATCCACCCCCCCCAAAGGGCTGGGATTACACCAAGCTGTTGGGGCTGGTTCCTTGTGCAACCCTCCCTGGTGGAGAGAGAGTCACCCCAGCAAACCCCCCCCTTACCCCCTGCCTCACCTGCAGCCAGTCCAGCAGCCTCCCGATGCTCTTCCCGACCACCCGCGTGTTGTTGACGGCGTCGGTGTAGAGCTGGTGGGCCAGGGGCAGCCAGTCCACCACCACCACGTTGGCATCCTTCTCCCTCTCCTGGAGAGCAGACACCAGGCTGCCCAGCCAGGTCTCGAACATGCCACTCATCTGGAGGAGGAGGAGGAGCAGCTGGTAGTTTCCAGGACCCGCAGTGATGCTGTTTCCCCCCGCCCCGGCTTGGGCTATTTGCATGTCGTTTGCATATCCCTCCCCCAGCTCCTCTGGTTCTCAGCACTGTGCTAATGGTGTCAGAAGAACAGGTTTTGGGAGGCCCTGGGAGGAAGGAGCCAGCTTGCCTTTTAAGGCAGGAGGGAGAGGCACCTGCTCCGTGTCACCTCGTTGCTCTTCTGCTCAGGGGCCCCAGGAGCTCTGGGGGGGATGGCAGAGTTACTTCCCAGCCCTGCCACCACCACCTGCAGAAGCCCTGGGAGAGCTGCTGAAATCACCTGCTTGGCCACAGGAAGCCCAGAAGGAGAAAAGTTGGTAGAGTCTGCCTGCCCTCTGTGGCACAAACATGAAGTGACAGGGAGCCCGTGTGTGTGTCACACCAAGTGCCACCTCCCTTGGGGTCACTTACAGGATCATGGGGTGGTTGGGAGGGACCTTAAAGACCACCCAGCTCCAACCCCCTGCATGGGCAGGGACACCTCCCACTAGAGGAGGTTGCTCCGAGCCCAAATCCCAAGTGCCCTTTTACCAGGGGGGAGTTCTCCAGCTCTAAAGTGATCTTGAGCAGCTGGGCATGGGTTGAGGGCTTCACAGAGTTAAGTACAACTCACTTTGCCCCAGAGACCTCAGGGGCAGCTCCTGAAGGGCCACGGTGCTCCTAAAGTGCAGAGCTGTCCCAAATCCCACCTGTCCTAGAGAGTTGGGGTGTTCAGCCTGGAGAAGAGAAGGCTCCAGGGAGACCTTAGAGCAGCTTCCAGTGCCTGAAGGGGCTCCAGGAAAGCTGGGGAGGGGCTTGGGACAAGGGCAGGGAAGGGGTAATGGATTAAAACTGGAAGAGGGGAGATTTAGGTGAGACATTAGGAAGAAATTCTTTAAGAGTGAGGGGGGTGAGAGCCTGGCCCAGGGTGCCCAGGGAAGCTGTGGCTGCCCCATCCCTGGCAGTGTTGAAGGGCAGGTTGGATGGGGCTTGGAGCAGCCTGGGCTGCTGGGAGGTGTCCCTGCCCATGCAGGGGGGTTGGAATCTTTCACGTCCCTTCCAACCCACCCCCCG